GGCGGGGGCGACTTGCCAGAAAAAAAAAAACCCAAAAAACCACAAACCCCTCAACTTTCGGGGCGGCGCTGCAGCGCGCGGGGTGGGGGGGAGCGCGGCAAACGCGGCACGTGTCCGCGCGGCCGGGCACCGCGGAGCGTGGGTGGGGGAGGACTCGGTGCTTCCAGCCCCGGCCACTGAACGCTTGGAGGAAGGAAGCGAGCTGCTGCTCGGGAACAGACAGGGGTCGCCCATCCCTCCTCCCGGCCCTGCTCTGGGTCCCCTGACAGAGGTCTTACGCAGGCTGCCCCCGTTCGCGCTCGCAACGGTTATAAGCGGACACCCACAGTTCCAACGCTCGGGCGTCCGTTCTAACTTCATAGCGCTTGGTCTGAGGTCACGCCACACCAACCACCAAGCCCGCCGCGCCGCCGTCTCCCCGTCTGTCCAAACTTCCTTGGCTGCTTTCTTTAAGAAAGCCGAGGAGACCCCAGAAAAACCCGCAGCCAGGACGCCTGAGAAGGCGCCAGCCAAGAGCTCTTCGAAACGGCCCACAAAGTCACCTCAGAGAAGTCCTTCCAAATCAATAGGATTGCTATTTACAATAGAAAGACATTCATGTAGCAATATTACTCATCTGTCATGGATTGAGTACAAAATACTGGGCTATTTTTGGTGAAAACAGAGTGTCTGGCCTTGGCTCAGGAACCGATCCCCCATTCGTAACACTGCTGCCTGTGGGAAAAATCGGCTCCAAGCGACAACGGTTCAGCTCAAGATGGGGGTCTTCAGGAACCCGTTGTGGCGTAAGTCTGAGGACTGTCTGTAGTTACTTTTTATGACAAAATTCATCATGTTTAAGTTAAGGAAATGTTTAAGTTCAACCTTAAGGTTGTATAGTTTTAAATTTAGAGTTCAACCTTAAGGATGTGTCGCGCACAGCGCTTCAGCATGAGGAGGAGAACAAAGCAGAGCCAGGGAGAAGCTGTCCTTGACTTCAGCAAATTGGTGGTGCGCAGTCTGCCAGTTTGGGAACCACTGCCGTATAGAAAGGTGGATAGTAGTGGACTGAGCGCTACATGCTAAAATCTCACTCAAAAAAAACCAGCGGGGAATTTTCTCTCCAGTGTTAAAGTTTGAACTAAAACAGATGCAAGGGAAGCAACTGGCACTCAGGGCCTGAAAATAAGCTCTCTCACCACCTGATCACAGGTTCCTATCCAGACAAACCAGTCTCTAAAGGGGGCTCCTCAATGGTTTTCTAGGGAATAAAATCATGGTGTAGGCATATAGCTAGATCAGGAGTCACAAACCAATGCATCTTTGCCAGTCTAGCAGAAGAGGCTGAAGATCTGAGCCGGACACAAGAATACATAAATACATTTTTTCAGGTGTAAAGCCAATGCTTTCAGGTTAGGATCAAGACAGGTAACTAGAGGGGATCTTGTTTTGGACTTTTCTATCACTGAGGACAGGCTGTCAATCTGGCACCTTTCCGAACCAGTAAATGGTAATTTTATATCTAATGCTCTGCCCCTTGCATGAAAAGTTTATCATTAATTAGAAAACACCCAAACCTCAACCCAAACCTCAACCAAATTACAAGTAGACAGAAAAACTTAAACAAGAGAACAAAAGTCATATCAAAGGGGTGGAGGGAACCAACCTAGGAAAAAGAGCCTTTATTTGTTGGGGGTTTTTTTGGTTTCAAGAAGCAAGTGAATGGGTTGGATGTTGAGAACTGCACCTTAGTTTTCTGCAGCAAAGTTTGATCATTTAGAGGTTTTAGACCTCCAAAGCAGGTGTCATGTGAACACAAGCCCCCCACTCCAGGTAAACTCAAGGAGCCTGTCACACACATTAGAAAAATTAATCCTGCAGAGTTGGAACCTGTCCCTCCTCTGAGGATCATCTTCAACAGCAGAAAGTCTAGGTCTTCCTTTCAACAGAAGGATCTCCAGGGAGTGTGTGTTTGAGTTAGTGCTGTGCTATTACTGTCATAGAAAGGAAATTAACAAGATTCTAATTAGCAGTTTTGTTACAGGCAAATTACTATCTTCCAAGCTTTAGAGAGCCTCTTAATTTAGACTACTGCTTCTCCCATTGCACATCCTAGAAACCCTGGCTTGTAAAACAGTAATTGCTACACAGAAGGTGGAGCTGTAGATTGTGGTGGTGGAGACGGACTGTGCAAGGGCTTCTGAGGAACACAGAGCTAGGGGTGTCAAACTCACCTTGTGGGCCAGGCCAGATCTGGACTGTGGGGATCCTTCTGGGGTGGATCCAGCCTGAGGCATGCACTGGCAGCAGCAACTCTGGCTCTGACTCAGGGCACGCAGCAATGGCAGCTTTAGCTCTGACTGTGGCACAGGACATGCAGCACAGCTTTGGCTCCTGCTGCATGCCGCATGCTGGAGCTAGAGCTCCCACTGCATGTTAGGCCTGTGCAAAGCAGCTATGCCCTGCTGCCGCTTGCCCTGCCGAGGCAGGGGGTGCAGGATCGAATCGGCTACCGAAGCTTCACGCAGCCCTACTGCATGTCCCACGCCGCAGTGGTAGCTCTAACTCTGGCACAGAGCATGTGGCAGTGGCTCCAGCATGGAGCCTGTGGCTGTCGAGGTAGGGCCATGGCAGTGGCGATAGGTGAAGCAGCTGCAGAATGCCCTCCTGCTACCGATCATTGTGTCCATCAGGACCAGGGGGCTGTGGGTTCAGTGGCAGGCCACTTCCACCTGGCCAAGACCCCCAACTTCCAGTGACTCAGGAGCCTGGGTACAGCAGCTCCATTAGCCAGATTCAGCCTGCAGGCCACATGCTGAACACCCCTGACTTGGAGGAAGCCTTGGGAATATAAATCACAATCTGCCTTTGCACGCAGCTCTTTGTATTGCAGCATCTATTAGGCCTTGGTATTGCAAGCAAAATATAGATTTCAGTCCTACCCTACTACAGAAGAAGCATCTGAAAAGGCCAGTTGATGACTATGCGAGGAAAAGGTTTGGTAGTGGGGAAAGACCCAGCATCTGCCATGAGTTCACCAAGCCTTCTGCAAAAAATCAAACAGTTTGTCCACAGGATTCTCCTTCAGCAAACAGGATTGCAAAGGGTTTTCACAAACCTCAGCTCTGATCCTGCAATCAGAGCCAAAAATGGAGACCCCCCACCTTTTTTTTTTTATTAAGGAAAATTTTGTGTGTCCCAGGTCAAATCAGTCAGATCAGCTCCAAATCCTATGAGTCATTCAAGAATCATATGTGGCCCTACTACCAGCAAGTATCCTCCACCCCAAACTTTTCAGCCTGGGGCTTCAAATACTTCCAAATCTTTTGTCAGGCATCCTACATGCAGGCCCAAGCCCCGAGGCTTGGGGTCTGGATGCCCCCGAGTTTCACTTGCCCTCGGGCACGTGGCAGCAGGAGCAACATGGAGACATGCTTCAGTCTTGACTACAAGGCCACACTAGGTGTGCAGTGACCCACCACTAAAATGTGGCTACTTCTAGAATGAACCCCAATAATTTAGGGCAGGGAGTGAAGGACTGCATCTAACAAACTCCCAGCTGGAACTGGGTTAGGGCAGCGGGTCTGACCCCTCTTGTTCTCCTGGAAATTGCCTGGGGATCTCTAATGACCCACGATAGTTAGGACTTTGCTTTTACATTTTGCCCAGAAGACGGTGCAGTGTCCCTGCCTGTCACTGTTTGGGGCACCCACCTGTGGCTAGGCTTGGTATCCAAGCCCTTGTGTAGCCTGGGTTTGTTTCTGCCCTTTAGGTCTCACTTCTCAGGAGTCCCAAAGGTCAAACTCCCACCCAAGGGATCAGCCCTGGGCCTCTCCCCAGACCCACCAGTTCTTCCTTTCAGTTCCAGGGCTGTCTCCTCCTGCAGGGAAGGTGGCACAGTGAGCCTATTCCTTCTGATCCCTCACCACTTCCTTGGGCTGCCTCCTACCTACCCAGCTTATCAACACAGTACTCCACCCCCAGCATCTCCAAGGCAATTTCTGTCCTCTGAACCTGCTGCCCCCTTATAGCAGCTCTTTCTAATTGGCTTCTTGGTCACAGCTGGGCAGATAATTGGCCCCTCCATTAACCCTTTCTAGACTGCTGTTCTGTGGGCTTCATCAAATCAGTCCCCAGCCATTCAGATGGTCTAGATCAGTGTTTGTCAACCTGTGGGTCACAAGAATATATGAAAGGGTTGCAAATGAACTTTAAAAGTGGATTCTCCTTTAAAAGGAGAAAAATGTGGGAAAGCATGCCTTTTTCCCTGCAGGCTCGCAGTTTCACCCACCCCCTGCCCCATACACTGGGGGGTTGGGGGTAGGTGTACTGGGTCAGGGCTGGCCATTTGTGTTTACAAGTGGGTCCTGGTACAAAACAGGCTGAAAACCACTGGCCTGGATGTTCAGCAGAGGTCTCCTGACCCCCTACTCTCTAGCCTGGCCTTGGTGGCCCGATAGGATTCACAGCACAGGTTGCTGCTGAGCATCAAAAATAACAGACCTGTTTGAAATAGAGGCCAATTAGTATGTGAAGGTTAATTGCTAACATAAAACCAAGTCATGCTTTGCAATTAATTCTGAACTGACAGGCTATCAGGAAGGTCAACGCTAAGAGGGCCAGGATACCTTCCAAAAGTTGAACTGAGATCTCTGTCCATTTGTACCAAGGCCTGGCATTGGAAACTCACAAGTCAGAACGGCTACAGGGGTAGGGTAGTCTGATCACAGTAACCACAGCGAGATATTTGACCGGAACCAGTGGCAGGATCTGCCAGGGGAGAAAAAACACATGCTCCCAGTTTCCCAACGATAGTACACAGACCTTGATTTGGGCCAGCCCACCTACAACTACCTGGCTGAGACGCCTACCT